CAGCAGAAATGGATGCCAGAGGATGTGTGTTGAGAATCTTAAGCCATGTGCCTACGTTCAGCAAAACATCTCACAGAGTTCCAGACCAGTTTTGCTGCATGCATAGAGAGATCTACAACCCTCAGCAAATAAGAGACAAGGCCATTGTTTGCACAATATTAGACTTGGGGTGTGTGTGTTGTTATTTTACAGGTCAGCTGGGTGAAATGTTTAAGACTTAGCTTCATAGGTTCTAGGGACTTTTCTGGGGAAGTCACCAGAGAGCACATAGCCGTCCTTCCTGCCTTTGTTCTTTCCCATGTGATGGCTTTTTAAAAAAGTATTAGACAAATTCATGGAGGATACGGCTAACTCTGTCTACTAATCACAATGTCCATGTTCCACCTTCCCTGTCAGAAGCAGTATGCACTTGAATAGCAGGCAGGGAGAGTGCTGTCATGCTCAGGTCATGCTTATGGGCTTCCCATGTGTATTTGGTTGGCCACTATGAGAAAAGGTTGTTGAACTATATGACCTGCTCCGGTAGGTTCTTCTTATGTTCTTACATCTATTTCTTCAGAAAACCTAGGGGAAAATGGCAACCAGGCACAAGAATCCAGATTCTATTAGCTGCCACCTGAATTTGGACTGTTACACAAATCTAAATCATTACAGTTGGCTGGTCCTAGGCTGGGACAAGATAGGGCCACATTTAACATCCAAGAATACCCAAAGAGCCACCTCAAATACTATTCCTACCACCCATCTTCTTAAATCTGCCTAACTGGGGAACTGAATCAAATATTGCATTTCCTGCAGATACAATATTTCCATATCAACATTCATGACATGGCCCTCTCAGTTAAAACATATTACATCTCATTGATTTCACCGAACATCTTAAATATATGCTCATATGTCTTAAGTAGAAACCAATAGGGTTCGACTCACCCACAGCCTGTGATAGCTATAGAATTAAGTCATAATCTCAACGTAGGAAAACGAAGCGAGAGAAGCACATGTCCTGAGTGAAGTCAATTTAGCACACATGAACATTGTGCAGTGAATACTGGGATTAGCAGGCCAATGTGTTAGTCTGCTCAGTGGCTCTTACATATTTTAGTTGGGGAGTGCGGGTTGGCGCCTATACATGTCCATCAGTGAGTCAGACCCATGTTTTCCCAGCATGAACCTGAATATGCAGACAAGGTAAAAGGTGCTGGATCAACCGGGGGGGGGGGGGAGAGAAGAAGAAGGAAAGAAAGAGCCATCAGTTTCTTCGCTATGGTTTCATATGCACATCACAGCAGCTGATTGATTGCAGCAGGAAATGGAAAGAATTGGAGGGCTGGAAATCGTTATTTAATAGCAGCATGTTGCAATGACAATAAACAGGGCTGCATTGCCTGGAAAAATCCTGTGACAACATGGGAGGAGGAAAGAGAAAAAGAGAGAAGTAAGTGGGAAATATCTGCAAAAAAATAAATAAAAATAAATAAATCATTTGCTGAATCCTGTTTAATTTAAAGAAGTGTTCATTTATTTCATCATCGTCATCATTTATTATTATATGACTTGTTCAAGGTCAATCGGTGAACAAACTTCATAACTGAGTGATGTTTTGAACCCTGAGCTCTCAGGTTGTAGTCCAACACTTCTAACCACAATACCACCCTGGCTATTATTACATAGAAGTAAAGGATAGAGTGTAAAAACCAGAAAGTGCCTTTAATAAAAAAAAAGTGCAGCTTGAATCAGCAGCTCCATTTTAAAAATAAAAATCAGTATAAAAACCAGCAAAGGGATGGGGCGGGACAGTGCAGAAATCGAAGTACCAGATAGATTGCAATTTAGGTTTCTGCAGGGTGAGGGTGTGGGTTGAAGTGGGAACAAGTTTCACAGCAAGGGTCAAAGGATATATAATCTTGGACATATTCAAGGTTAATTGTGAAAAGTAAAAAGAAGCAGCAGCAGTGTATTTTAATAGCATTAAAATTATCCCTTTTCTATCTCACAATAAGCAGAGAGGAGTAACCTGAGGAATAATTGCAGATGTTCTGAAGCACAGGAATGGATTGGCCCTCCCCTCTCTCCTTAAACGGCACCCTTGCCTTTTCCTGTATCTGCCACTGCTGATCGCAAGTGCCGGTCTCTGATCTCAGCTCTCAGCTCTCAGATCCAATGAACACTCGATGCCCAACTGGTTGTCGAGCGTCAGGCTGCCTCTGGCTGCTGTACGTAGGCATTATATGCAACGATGGGCGGCTTGAAGGATTGAGACATTGCCTTACTGACCATATTGACAGAATCTTGACTTTGCGAAATGATAAAACGATTCGTTGTCATAATTCCACATCATCACAAACAATGCTAATCATACATTAGCCCTTTGCTCTGTAAGCAGTCCAGCAGTTCTTTGGGAGACAGTCAATACTACTTATGCCAAATGGTGGCTTAAAAGCTGTGTGTCCACTCCCTGTTCACACAAATGGCATTGAAACTTAATAGTGGGTTTATTCTGAGGATTGATTGCCTTTTCTCTAGGAAGAGATTGCTGAGTCAAGCAGCAAAAGGCACAATAGCTGCGGTCACCAGAGCAAACTACGGAGGAGTTTACATAGTAGCAGCCATCCATCCCTTCTTCTAAGGACTAAGCTGTTAATCTCTTTCCGCCTGGTGCCATAAATCAGAACTAGCTTTACTGAGGTAAATGGAGATCCAAAGTCCTGACCTGCCAAATGATTAAAGGTTTGTTAGTTGATGAACTAGGCCAGTCTAACAAATTAATTTGTCAATTAATTAGTCAATTATTGATTAAAAACTCAATACATTCTCTGAGGATTTCCTTCCTTAGATCCCTCTTTTTTCCCCCTTGTAGCTTTGGACAGTCTTTTCTCTCATAATTAACAGTGGATTGAGACACTGCTTTCTCCTCCACCCTTCTCAAAACACGCATTGACTTTTGTGATTGCCACCTCCTGAAAAATCACGCAGAAATAGCTTGAGAGCCAGTGTGGTGTAGTGGTTAAGAGTGGTAGTCTCGTAATCTGGGGAACCTCTACCTGCAGCTGCTGGGTGACCTTGGGCTAGTCACCCTTCTCTGAAGTCTCTCAGCCCCACTCACCTCACAGAGTGTTTGTTGTGGGGGAGGAAGGGAAAGAAGAACGTTAGCCGCTTTGAGACTCCTTCGGGTAGTGATAAAGCGGGATATCAAATCCAAACTCTTCTTCTTCTTCTTGTAAAAGGATCTAAACCATGTTGGGCTACACACAGCCTCTGTTTGCTTGATAAAATGTGTAAATCCAATAATCATCTGCCTTGAAATACATTCAGGCATCACAACTGTTGAGCAGACTATACTGAACCACCCATTGAGCTTTCTCGCCCTGTGTTGCCTACATTGATTGGCAGCTGCTCTCCAGGGTTTCAAAAGGAGTCTTTTCCAGCTCAGACAGGAGATGCCCAGTACTGTGGCTCACCAAGCTACCCACACCTCTCCACTTGTGTTTGGTGGCCCACCCAATCAACTTTTGAGACCTTTCAACCCTTTTCTTGAAATACATAAAGCAAAAATATATAATGTAGGATGAGTCCTTCTATGTCTGGAGAAAGTTGCATCTAGTCTAGTAGCTCCCATTCCCATCTTCCACAGCGGCCAACAAAATGCCCCTGGATAGACACATAAATGACAATTTAGTTATATTAAAGATAGTGTGGAATGGATCTTTGGCATAGATCCTGAAGGAGAAAAGTCCTTCATTAGGCCACGTAATTAATAATGTTCACATGGTATGCCTTTCTTCTCAGTATCCCCTTTCCACACATCTTCAGCCACCACCATGTGATTTACCATATCTGGAAGACTTTTAGATCATGGTGACTTCAGGATTCAGAACAATTCTGATCTCACCACCTTAGGGTGCCTTCATAAGCAGGTTCTGGAGGGCAAAAATTAAAGAGGTGCATATGAGGCAGCTGTACACTGAGCCAGACAATTGATCCATCTAGGCTGGTATTATTTACTCTGACTGGCAGCAGCTCTCCAGTATTTCTTATCAGCTGCTATCTGGTCTTTTTAACAGAACATGTCAGAGATTGACACTGGGGCCTGGAGTCTGATGGCACCATGAAGATTAACCAGCATATGGTGGTCTAAGTTTGTGTCCATCACAGGCCCATTTCATCTGTTGCATGCAATGAAAATATGGAGCACTGGTGCTTAAAGAGAAACATTTTGAAGTTCCATTGATTTCAGTAGCAGAGTTATCGCTTGCTTAACCACTTCCCACTCTAATCGATTGTGCTTAAGTTTGGGTGTATTGCACCCATGTTATGCATTTCCCCCATACAGAGCTATGTTTAGAATAAAAGAAACACTGCTCATCCATATTTTCAAAACTGCCTGCCCTACTGTCAAATTCTTTGCAGGGGTTGGGGAGGACAATTCCACAGTCTTTCTTATTCGTGCACATTGACTATGGTTGTTGTTGTTGTTTAGTTGTTTAGCCGTGTCCGACTCTTCGTGACCCCATGGACCAGAGCACGCCAGGCACTCCTGTCTTCCACTGCCTCCCACAGTTTGGTAAAACTCATGCTGGTAGCTTCGAGAACACTGTCCAACCATCTCGTCCTCTGTCGTCCCCTTCTCCTTGTGCCCTCCATCTTTCCCAACATCAGGGTCTTTTCCAGGGAGTCTTCTCTTCTCATGAGGTGGCCAAAGTATTGGAGCCTCAGCTTCATGATCTGTCCTTCCAGTGAGCACTCAGAGCTGATTTCCTTCAGAATGGATAGGTTTGATCTTCTTGCAGTCCATGGGACTCTCAAGAGTCTCCTCCAGCACCATAATTCAATAGCATCAATTCTTTGGCGATCAATTCTTCGGCGACTATGGTTAAGCAGGACCTATCGGTTCATAGGCATGGCACATGTGAAGTCATGTGTAAGGCCCTCCCTTGGATGGTACCATCCATGCCCTCTGCCCAGAAGTGTCTCACCAGGTGGGCGAGAACCACTGCGCTAGCTTTTGGGCAGGTGGGTCGCTGTTGCTTACCAGGAATGAGAGGGCAAGGTGGTGAGGAGGCTGGCATGGTGCAAATGCACCAGAAGGAGCATGAGATTGGCTCTGCCAGTGTGTTTGCACTGTGCCAACCTCCCCACAGCCTTGCCCCTCCCCTTCTTGGTAAGCTGTAGTGACCCACCTTCTGGGAAGCTGATTCCGCCCCCTGGCAAGCCACTTCTGCCCCACCATAATATGTTTGTGCAGATGTGAGTAGGGCACCCCATGCAGGGACACTAATTGACCAGGAGGTGTGCCTGGCATGCATGGTGGTCGTAGTACATTCTCATGACTACATTTGGCACCCCCCACATGTATCAAACACCTGGATTGGGCTTTTGTTGCTTTGCTAAAAAGAAAGTAAAGAAGGCAACAGGGAACAAGACACAGCAAGAGCTTCTGCAGTCCCACCCTCTCCCAACGCCATCCTGCACGTGCACACCCTCTAACAATGTAGTGCATATAGTCTAAAAAATGCAGCAATAGATTTCTGCATCTTCGATCATGATTTTAAACATGTCTCTTACAAATGCACAGAAATGATGGGCTTGGGAATAGGTGAGCATTGAGTGCCTTGATATTATTTATGAAATTCTCTCTGCATTTTTCTCATTAGAGGTTATCTGTTAGGTGAAAGAAAGGGAGTTGTTGCCTGTGTTTATTTTCTCTGGAGTGTATTATTCTAAAGTAAGTACAATCAGTGTTTAGGAAAGAAATTGTCTTTGCATGATATAACATGAAAGGGGGAGCCTTGTCAGTGGAATTGCTCTGACAGCTCTTATAGCAGTTTATTACATGCCTTTTCACTCCACTTGATGGATTTGATTCTGAGGGTGGGCTTGTAAACTATGCTTTATTTAGTGCATTTTTGGTTACATGAAGCTCCGTTTAAAGCACAGAAGTGAAATGGGCAAATGATACTAGACTTCATATATTCTTTTTCAGTCCTTTGGAAAATGAAGGAAGATTCTAATAAGCTGCAATACTCTTAAATGCATATATTTACTAAAACCTTCAACCTTCAAGTTCAGAATGACTATTTTGAGGGAAATCGGAATTTTACAAGAAGCTGCAGGGGACAATGCTGGACTATCTGGATTACAACAACATCATAATGATGGGAGATATGAACGGGGTCGTGTCAACTAACATGGACAAGTCACAAAGTCAAAATGTTACAAAAGACGGCAGACTACCTAAAACCTTTTTGAAATGACTGACAATATGGATTTGATTGACATTTGGAGGACAAAGAACCCACTAGGTAGAGAAGGAACATTCTTTTCTGAAGCCCAACTGACCTGGACAAGAATCGACCAAATATGGATTTCTAGAGGCCTGGCACCTAAGGTCAGAAAAGTGGAAATCTGCCCAAAGACCTGCTCTGACCATAACGCAGTAAAGATGGATATGACACTACTACCAACTGGATCCTTTAGATGGAAGATGAATGACAATTTGTTTAGAGATCAGGAAATTACCAAGAAGGCCCAAAAAGTTTTGAAGGACTATTTTGAGATAAATATGAACAATTCGGTGGAAAAAAGAATCGTCTGGGACGCAAGCAAAGCTGTAATGAGGGGATTCTTGATACAACAGAATGTAGTAAAGAAAAGAACACAAAATGAGAAAAAAGATAAGATCTTGGATAAAATAAAAGAATTAGAGAAGAAATTAAGAGTGAATCCAAAGTCACAGCCAACTCTGAGAGAAATTAAACTTTATCAAACACAATATTCTAAATTGATAAATCAGGAAATTGAATGGAAGGTTAAATTAATGAAACAAAAACGTTTGAGTCGGCGAATAAATGTGGAAAACTGCTAGCTTGGCAGTTGAAGAGAAGACAAAGATTAAACACGGTTACAAACTTAGAGGTTGATGGAAAAACATCCAGAATCCAGTGGATATTAGAAAGTGTTTCCAGAGATATTTCAAAAAATTATACACCCAAGGGCCGCAAGACGAAGTTGAGATTAAACAATTTTTGGCAAAAAATGGACTATCTAAATTGTCACAAGAAAATAGGACAATCCTGAATTCTAAAATAACACGACAGGAGATTGAACAAGCCATCCAGAACATGCAACTTGGCAAATCTCCAGGGCCAGATGGGCTGACCTCCAAGTATTATAAGACATTAAAAGACTATTTGATACAACCTTTGATGGAGGTCAGCAATGAAATTATGGAGGGGAAGAGGGCACCGGATTCGTGGAAGGAAGCGTTTATCACATTAATACCAAAGTCGGAAGCTGAAAAGACACAACTTAAGAACTACCGCCCCATCTCCCTTTTAAATGTGGATTACAAAATATTTGCAGATATTTTGGCAAGTAGATTTAAAAAGTCTTAAATGAAGTAATTCATAAGGACCAGGCCGGTTTTCTCCCAGGTAGACATCTGTTTGCTAATACAAGGAACATTATTGACATTTTGGAACTTCTGCAAACAGATATAAATACAAAAGCAGTTTTAATTTTCATAGATGCGGAGAAGGCCTTTGACAATATCTCCTGGAAATTTATGATGGGAAATTTAAAAGAGATGGGAGTGGGACGGGGTTTTGAGAATGGGATTGAGGCGATATATTCAGAACAGAAAGCTAAACTGATAGTTAATAATGTGGTCACAGAAGAGTTCAAAATTGAAAAAGGGACACGACAAGGTTGCCCTATCTCCCCTTTGTTATTCATTTCGGTTCTGGAAGTGCTATTGAACATGATTAGAGGGGATCGGTTGGTGGAAGGAATTCAGGTCGGTCAGAAACAATATAAACTAAAAGCTTTTGCAGATGACCTGGTTTTGACCCTGCAGAAGCCAGAGCCCAGTACGAAAAGAGTATTACAATTGATTAATGATTTTGGTCGGGTGGCTGGATTTAAATTAAATAAACAGAAAACTAAGGTTTTGGGGAAAAATTTGACTGATACAGAGTCAGAACGGTTTCAGAATGAGACGGAACTCAATGTGGTTAAAAAAGTAAAATACCTAGGGGTAAACATAACAGCAAAAAATCTAAGTCTATTTAAGGACAACTATGAAAAATGCTGGACAGAAATTAAAAGAGACTTAGATAGTTGGTCAAAATTGAAACTTTCTTTGTTAGGCCGAATTGCTGCTATTAAGATGAATGTATTGCCAAGGATGTTGTTTTTATTTCAGACACTTCAGGTTTTGGACAAAATGGAGTGCTTTCAGAAGTGGCAGAGAGACATTTCTAAGTTTGTCTGGCAGGGCAAAAGCCCAGAATTAAGTTTAAGATATTAACTGATGCAAAACAAAGAGGGGCTTTGCCCTGCCAGACTTAAAGTTGTATTATGAAGCCGCAGCGTTCTGCTGGCTAAAAGACTGGCTACTTCTTGAAGACACTGATGTGTTAGATCTGGAAGGGTTTAACAATGTTTTTGGATGGCATGCATATTTATGGTATGACAAAGTTAAAGCAAATAAGGCCTTCAAGAACCATATTGTCAGAAAATCACTGTTTAATGTCTGGACAAAATATAAAGACTTGCTGGAAAACAAAACACCAAGGTGGCTTTCACCTTTGGAAGCTAAGGCCCGAAAAGACCCAATATGGAGGCTAAATGGCCAAAATATTGGGAAATATTAGAAAAGGATGGAGACAATTGGAAATTGCAGAGTTTGGAGAAAATGAAAGACAAAGTGCGAGATTGGTTACATTACGCTCAGATTAAAGAAGTTTTTAAAAATGATAAGAAATTAGGGTTCCAGGTGGAGAAATCGAAACTAGAAACAGAATTGTTAGAACCAAAGATTAAGGTACTTTCAAGGATGTATAACTTGCTGTTGGAATGGAATACACAAGATGAAACGGTTAAATCGGCTATGATAAGGTGGGCACAGGACATTGGGTATAATATTATGTTTGAGGACTGGGAAAGGTTGTGGAGTAATGGATTGAAGTTTACTGCATGTAACGCTCTGAAAGAAAATGTAATGAAAATGATTTATAGATGGTATATGACCCCAGTCAAACTTGCAAAAATTTACCACCTGTCTGATAATAAGTGTTGGAAATGTAAAGAGTCTGAGGGAACGTTCTTCCACCTCTGGTGGACTTGCCCTAAAGTGAAGGCGTTCTGGGAGATGATTTATAACGAATTGAAAAAGGTATTTAAATATACCTTCACTAAGAAACCAGAGGCTTTCCTTTTGGGTATTGTCGGCCAAGGGGTGGCAAGGAAGGATCAGACATTTTTATGTATGCAACAACAGCAGCAAGGATACTTCTTGCAAAACATTGGAAAACTCAAGATCTACCCACACTGGAAGAATGGCAGATGCAACTGATAGACTACATGGAACTGGCTGAAATGACCGGCAGAATCCGTGACCTGGGAGAAGAAAGGATTGAGGAGGATTGGAAGAAATTTAAGAACTATTTACAAAAATATTGCAATTTGAGTGAATGCTAAATAAGATGCTAGACTAAAATAACTGAGCACCACTAAATTTAGAAGTTTTCTATGAAAATAAGTAAGACTGTGAAAATTTAATTCCCTTTGAAAATTATAAGATTATGAAATATAGAAGCGATATAAGAATTTAAATAAGATGATAAATTGCTGACAAAATGTTATAACGATGAAAGTGGGAGCGGGAGATGTGAGGAAGTCCAAAGAAAATGTGAAATTATGTCAAGACAAAGGTCATATTGTTTAATATGTTTATTTTTATTGTAAAACCCAATAAATTGCTTTAAAAAAAAAAAACAGAATGACTATTTTGATTCAATATGTGGAATGCAAACACATATCTGCCTTCCCCACAGCACCTTATCATAAGCCTTGTGTGTTTGTAGAATGATTGACCTTATATTCTCCCTACAGTTGATATTCTGAGTTCTGGAATACTATAAGTGATCCTTTCACTTCAACAGATTGTCTGTGAACATTCTGTGGCATCACAGCCACGGTAGGGATGGGGCAGAAATTTCATTCAGTTTACATTTAAAGGTGAACCTACCTAATTCATGCTTTCCATAACAATATGTGAACAGAAACACAGCCATCCATCAGAATTAGCTATTTCACTTAATTTCACAATGCAGCTCTCCAGCTAACTGTTGTGTGTAAAAATGCATGTGCTAGAGTACAGTATACATAAAAATGCACATATTAGTGA